AAACTATCTTACACATTTCATAGGCATACAAATTACACTATTTTTAATAATATTTACTACAAAAGATCCTAAACATTATTGGTTAATGCAAACAAAATACCTCCAACTTAGTACAACCGTCACGATATTTTACATCAACTTGTCCTTTTAGAACTATTGCTAGCTTCATCTGGGAAAAGCTAAAGTAACTAACTATATTGTAGAAGAAAAGGATTTTTGCACTTTTGATACAAATACACGTCAACACCAGAGGAGGCACAATAATATATGACAATTCTCTTCATATTTCCCCAAAACAAAATGTATTCAATGAAATACATTTCCAGTGTAATTGCTAATTTAACGTTTTTACAAGTGCATAAGAAGGTCACTAGTGACAGCAAACACTAGATGTCTAGGAATATACATACAAATATATTTACATAATACATATTTAAGAGAACATCTAAAGAAAATGGGACAGTTTTTACATACATATTCAAAGTATCTGAGAAATTCCACTGGGGTCCACATTAGTGAGCCTTAAGTATTGCCAGGGTAATAAGTAGTGTAAGTAAGTAGAATAGAAAAGCAAACCTTTACTAATGGTGTCTGTCTACATACATTAATAGAAAATCTAATGGAAGTGGTATGATTGCATTAGAGAAATGCCTGTCATTCAGCCAAATTCCCTTCTGGACGAGCATAAATACAAATGTAAATTTTTCATGGAATTCAACATTCAGTTACACTGGCTACAGATTAATGACAGTGACCCTCTGTCTTTTCTTTATGGAGGTAATATCCAGAGAAGAATAAATGTTTTGTGTGGAGAAAATATATTTTTACATGTAGATTAATTAATAATCAGTTGGGTTGGGTAAATTATATTTTTGCCAGTTCTAGTTGAAGGAGAGACAAAATATATATTGATTTGCCTCACGAGAGATCCAATTTGACAATCACCTCTCACAAGCGGTCCGTCAGATTGGCCATATAGATTACATTATAGCTCTGCTCCCACCCAGGTAGAGTGATGACGAGGCATAATCAATTGGGAAAGACCTGCTTCTAGAGGGGAACAGAATGTGGGTTATAACGGAAATGATTCACATTCCTACGAATGCATCCTACGAATACATACTGGAGGACCATGGTGAATAAAAAATAGGGCAGTTCACAGTGAGCTCTTTGATTAGCTCTCTTAGGCTTCCGTGATTGCATTCCCCACACCATGCCAAATGCTTTCTATGTGCATTACCATTTCAATCCTTAGTTGGTAAGAGTTCTTTTAAAATATTCCCACTCCAGTTTTGTAGCTATTCGAGGTTGCAGATATGGAGTCTATAATATCAAACCAATAATCATAAATTTGAGTTAAGATTGGGATGAGGGGAGTTGAGTGTTCTGGTTTGAGGTCTGCTGATGCTTCTGTAATTCCCTTCCACTTCCATGGTTCTTCCATCTGTTGGATGGGTGTGTGATGACACTTATCTCAGATGCCCTTTGAATTGACAGAATGCAGTCTGTTTCATGCATTTTTCTTTGGAGAAGGATTACAGTTGGCATTTAAAATTCAAGTTTATATCCAGGGGATGTGATAATTACTTGTCATTATGTAAATCCTAATGAAAGTGTTGTTTAAAACAGCAGATTGCAAAACAGAAAAAAAGTGTTTGCAATTGCAAGAGATGAGCCTGAAAAACACTTGAGAGAATTTATGAAGCGGGGGATGTGCAGGCCATCCTAAAGAGTCTGCATTTTACTCTGTTGGGTGTGTTATTTTCTGAAATGTATTCCACAGAATGCTTGTGCCAGAGGATGTTACCATGTTGAGGGCAAGCTCAGTTAAATCAAATCCCAGTTTACTTTAGGGAAGGCCTTAAATATGCTCATATGCGTTGAGATTCTCTAAGAGGGGTTTTTGTAAATTGCTTTTCTCAAGCAAACCAATAGAATGCGGTAGTAGGTACACAAGGAATAGGAAAAAACTGCTCCAGTTTGGCACTTTCTGCTCAGTTAATTCTTATATTCTGTGTATCCTCGATACACCTGATATTCTTTGCCGTATTATCCTATGTATTTGGCACATAACAGGGTTCAGCGAACAAACGGAAGGAATGAAATATCTGAATAGCCCTCTATTTTCTCACCTATAAAATGGGAAAACGATAATACCAGTTTTTAGAGGATCGAAGAGTTGGATAAAAGTGATCACAGAGCATTTTGTTACGATTTTTTTTAAATTAAAATCAAATGGAAAGAGAATTACAAATGAAAAAAGTTAATATAAAAGATAGGGAAAATATATAAGGGATTCCTGTCCAATTACTGTCTAACTGTGAAATCTTTGCTTAACCTTACTAAAGCTTATTTGGAAAGGGGCTAATCACACTTCCCTTGAAATGTTCTCATAATTTGCCTTGCACCATGACTGGGGGTTTACAGTGTTGTGGGTAAGAACACAGGCTGGGAGGCAGCTGCCTGGTTTGAAATTCAGCCCTGCCCTTTACTAGATGAATGTGGCATTGGGCAATTTAATTGATTTCTTTCTGACTCAGTTTTCCTAATCTGCAAAGTGGGAGCAATAAGTATACTTAGCAATGGTGAGGATTACAGATAAAATAATACATGTTAGATATTTAAGAAGTTAGCTGCTGTTATTATTTCATATTTCCTACACAATACGAGAGACATGCTCAGGCTTTTGCCCTAATTGGTTCTTCCCAGACTGCAGCTGCCTGGCCAGTGGTTATACCCCATTTCCCCCTCCCTCCCAAACTGAGTGCTCACAACTCATTTTTTTTTTTTTGCGGTACGCGGGCCTCTCACTGCTGTGGCCTCTCCCGTTGCGGAGCACAGGCTCCGGACACGTAGGCTCAGCGGCCATGGCTCACGGGTCCAGCCGCTCCGCGGCATGTGGGATCTCCCCGGACCGGGGCACGAACCCGCGTCCCCTGCATCGGCAGGCGGACTCTCAACCACTGCGCCACCAGGGAAGCCCAGTGCTTATTCTTTTGATGGCCATTAATATACAAGTACGTTAACATTCCTAGCTGATTTAAATCTGGATTATTTTCTCTCTGGATTACTGCTAATTTTTGCCAGTTCAACTGATGGTCAGTTAAAACCCAGAGGAAGTACTGACATCTAGAATTTGGAAGGACACAGAAAGGCAAACTAAAAACAGAAATCACACACCATCTTGTATATAGGGATGTGTGGTGAGAAGGGAAGAACAAACGAAATTGATAATCCAAGACGTGTGTTAGATGGTTTCTTAGTTACCATGACTTGCTGGTGTCATTTAATCACTTTGGTGACAATTTTAAAAATAATAGTTTGAATGGGCCACTCGCCTGGTTGCATCCTTTGTCCATGTTAACGCACTTTCCCCCAAATCGTTTGACTGTTTATGGAATTCCTCAAGTAGGCCAGTGAGGCATCAATAAGCCAGCAGAGGTTTTTAAGGCCCTTCCAAGAATCCCCCGCACATGCTCCCCTCCACTTCAGAGAGTGGGACTCTGCAGTGATGCCAACAAGTAAAGGGGAATGAACAGGAGAGACACTCCTTGATCCAGTACTAGTAACGGAGTCTAAGTTTTCAAAGTATGTACTTCAGACAGATTAGCAAAATCTATAATAGAGCAAGTTAAGGCCGACTGAATACTCACAAATAACCTGTGTATGTTTAAACTCACTTATTTGTATTTCCTTTTAAGGACAGTCCTAATATGAACATAATTTATTTTAAATGATCAAGATATTTACATTAGGTTGGGTCTTCAAGGGCATATATATCATGTATATATGAAGTATATGGGTATACCATATCCATATATATCCATGGAGACTTATACATATATATGTATGTATATATCTCCAAAGGCAGACGTTAGATTTAAGAGTGCTTTGCACATGAATACCAAAGAGATATTATCAACCACAAAGTCAAATATATGCATACGAAATAACGTCTGGATGAATAGAATTCTTGTGCTCGGCAGATGAAGGGCGAAAGATCGCTATTATTAGTGTTTTTTAAATTTACAGCCCTGTCAAAATTATGTGAAAATATTCCTCTCTAAAGAACTAGAGAGTCATTTTATACAAAGTGGGGTGTGTGTGTGTGTCTGTGTGTGTGTGTGTGTGTGTGTGTGTGTGTGTGTGTGTGTGTAGGGAGTTGCTCATATAGGTTTGTTCAAAGCTTTTCTGGAGCCATCTAATAAACTTGAGTTCCATGTAAGTGGTGGGCTACCACCAGAAAGCCCTGACTTGAAACAGATTTCTAGCAGCAAGGCTGGGATTAAAGATGCATGTGACAACAGGCTTCAAGGAGAGGAAAAATCCACTCATAATAAAAAGGTCATCAAGCCTTAATTGTAAGAATGTCTCTGACTCTGAGAACATTTCTTTCCACCAAAAACCCCCACTAACACTCATGACTTAATGTCCTCATTTAAGAAATGGAAGACATTAAATTAAATTTTAATTTATATTCCACTTTTATGTCTGTTTTCATCGTCCCTCTGATGCAAACTGTGTGCCGAACAATATAAATCGTAGATCTCATTTCCACCCGACAACCTCATCAAACGAAAAGGTGATGATGCAATCTTATTTCGAAGCCAAGAGAGAGTAATAAACACCAGTACTTTTCAGATGCACATTAAAAATAATCCTTTAGGACTTCCCTGGTGGTGCAGTGGTTAAGAATCTGCCTGCCAATGTAGGGGACAGGGGTTCGAGCCCTGGTCCGGGAAGATCCCACGTGCCGTGGAGCAACTAAGCCCGTGCACCACAACTACTGACCCTGCGCTCTAGAGCCTGCAAGCCACAACTGCTGAGCCCACGTGCTACAACTACTGAAGCCCACGAGCCTACAGCCCGTGCTCCACAACAAGAGAAGCCACTGCAATGAGAAGCCCGCACACCACAATGAAGAGTAGCCCCTGCTTGCTGCAACTAGAGAAAGCCCATGTGCAGCAATGAAGATCCAATGCAGCTGAAAATAAATAAATTAAATAAATTTTTTTAAAAAGTCCTTTACATTTCTTTGAAAGTAGCATCATTATTTTAAGTTAGAGGACAATCACCAAATGGAAAAATAAACCCAACACAAATGAAATCTTACACTATTTCAGTATTTTCAGTGGAAAACAAAACAAGAATTGGGTTTCCTCTGCGTTTACAGTGGCCCATACAGTAAAAAGCCTTTTGTCAAGTGTTGATTCTCTCCTCATTAAGGAACTGCCTGAAACTGTATTCTTGGGTCAACTTACTTTTGCTTCTCCTAATTATATCTGTGTCTCAGAATCCACGACATGGATTTAAACAGACCCATGGTTAAGTGTAAACAGATGTGGTGACCAGACAGTGCCCAGCTATTCGTTTGTCTATAAAGTGGCAAAAATTGAACCTTTAATTAATAGGACTTGATTCTACCTAAATCCCTAATATAACTATTAAAATGTAGTCCCTTTCAGTAAGATAAATGCCCAGATATTATTTTTAAAGATCCAACAATCAGTCCTCCACCAAGTCTGAATATCTTGTACCTTAATGATCTGTTTGTTTTGAGAACCAATAAAAAGCACTGTTTCAACCAGATTCTCATTTCCTAAGTATCCCTTCAATGCATAAGTAAAGCATCATTCCAGATGAGAACTCATTAGTCAATCTTGGTCTTGCCGTAACTGGATATTCCTGCTTCTAATAAGGTTGGAAGAATACCACCTGGTTAACTTGCAACAACTTCCCGGTGCCCACGTACTCCACTCTCTACATGCTGACAGTGCCTTTAAAGCCTCTGAGCAACATCAAAAACCTTATTATTTACTTATCGTGAAGCAAGTTCGCTTATCATCTAGAAAAGTTCTCGGAACCCTTCTTGTCTCTCTCCACCATCTCTCACCTTTCTGAAGACTTTAAATAGAAGCAAGGCCTTGGCAACGAAATAATTTATCACATGGTTCAAATTACATTTGTGCCCTGGTACGAGTTTGCCTATTATCTTGCACACAGATCTAAATTATAACCAGAGAAGTAGGAATTACCCCCTTCCTATATACAAATGATGTTTTTAAAAGGTATACTTAAAAGCAGAATCTTTTGAAGTCACTATATAATACTGAAAAACAGTATACATGTATTGTTATAGTGATTCAGCTGTATTGAAGTTCATGTTATATTGCTTCTTCAGATCTCTTATATTAACATTTAACCACAAATACTCTTTGTCAGATGCTTCAGATGCCAAGCACTGTGCTTGTCTATAGACTAAAAAGATGATGAATTCATAGTCTCTATAGACCAAAATATAAATGGATTCAATACAGACCAAATGACGAAATTGGATGTCCACTCAGGGGACCATATCACAGACCCAGTGAGAAGAATGGGGTTCATCTTTTGGAGGAGATGTCTGAAATGATCCGATCAATCACAGCTTTCCTTCTTCTCTGCAATGATACACCAGTTGCCATGATCATTCCCAGAGCTCAGAATATGGAGCTCCGACACACTGTCCTTCAGCAGGCCATAGAGCTCGCCTTCTCGAAACACGTGGTAATAGCGCATAAAGGCACCAGATTCCAAAATGTCAGGCTGTTGTTCTTCGACAGAAATGGTGTCACCTGGGTTGGAATCTTTGGAATCAGCTGCAGAAATCCTCCTCCATATTTTACTAGCAGAAGGGGTACCCTCTTCTAAGTTACCTGCATCCGTACAATTCTCCCTGGTGTTGGTGCTACCCAGAAAATTCCCATCTCCATTTCTCCTCACGCCTCTTGGATGGTCTCCATTTAGGTGTTTGTGTGTGGCGGGCGCTCTCAGCCATTCCAGGTGTTTCTGAGAAGTCTCCACAAACACTTCCTCATCTAAATGTTGCTCTCCTGTCGAAAATGGCTCTGGATGATCTAAGTCGAAACTTGAGCGTCTTGAAGGCTGGGTGGATATCGCGCTATTGGCCCAACTTTCTGTGTTTTTCAAGGGTCTCATTTTTTCAATTTGCTTCCTCAGAGTTGATTCATCCAAAGATCTAGAGGAAAACCAGGAACGAAAAGATTTCCCCAGCGTGTTATAGAATCCGTTTTCTTCCTCGCCTTCCTTGGAAATATTTGCACAGCAGGTGCCAGCTAGAGCAGAGTCACGGTCCACGCTGCGGGACCGCCTCGAATCACAGCGCCCCTTAAAACAAACGGGACAGCGACACGCAGAGCAGGGAGGGGGGTAGGGATGGCTTCTTTCTGGATGCCCGCACTGCTTCTTTCTCCCAGGCTGGCTGGATTCCGAGAGGGGCTGGGAGCACAAGGCTTTGTTCCATGGAACAAGCACGTCTTGCTTCTCAAAGTGCCGGTTCTTCTGTTCCATGGCCCAAACATAAATCATCAGCTGGCCTCCAGGAACTAAGACCCTGGCCATTTCCTTTATTGCTCTGATTCTTCTTTGTTTTGTAGAAAAATGATGTATGACTGAAAAAGAAGAAACTAGATCTCAGTGGGTATATACACACGTAAACCTACACGTTTATAGGCTAGTATTTTCCATATAAAAATGATGCATCTTTTTTCCTAAATAAAGACTTTTATTAGAATTATATCACAACTGTTTTCTGGGTGGAAGAATGGTAAAGAGAGAGGTATGCTTTCTTTTTTAAAATTTTATATTGGACATATATACACTACCAAACGTAAGGTAGATAGCTAGTGGGAAGCAGCCGCATAGCACAGGGAGATCAGCTCGGTGCTTTGTGACCGCCTGGAGGGGTGGGATAGGGAGGGTGGGAGGGAGGGAGATGCAAGAGGGAAGAGATATGGGGACATATGGATATGTATAACTGATTCACTTTGTTATGAAGCAGAAACTAACACACCATTGTAAAGCAATTATACTCCAATAAAGATGTAAAAAAATAAATAAATAAAATAAAGTTCAAAAAAGAATTTTATATTGGAGTATGGTTGATCAACAATATTGTGTTCGTTTCAGGTGTACAGCAAAGTGATTATACATATACATGTATCTATTCTTTTTCAAATTCTTTTCCCATCTAGGTTATCTATTACAGAATGTTGAGCAGAGTTCCCTGTGCTATACAATAGGTCCTTGCTGGTCATCTATCTTAAAACATGGCAGCGTGTACATGTCAATCCCGAACTCCCTAACTATTCCTTCTCCCCACCCTTCCCTGCCCCGGTAACCAGAAGTACATTCTCTAAATCTGTGAGTCTGTTTCTGTTTTGTAAATAAGTTCATTTGTATCATTTTTTTAAAAAATTCTACACATAAGTGATATCACATATTTGTCTTTGACTGACTTCACTTAGTATGATGCACTTTTGACATGTAGTAATGATTGCTTATAGTTTATAATAATGTTAATATAATATGAAATTGTGTATACTTAAGAGAAAGCAGCTTATAGGTCATCATTTTACTTGCAGTCTTTGCAAAGTTAAAGTGAGAGTCAAGCAGGACTGCCTGTATCTAGTCTTAGGTGGGTTATTAGGCATATTTTTATCAAACAGTATATAGAAAGCACTGGTCTATTAGCTTCTAGAGTTTAATGACACTGTGTCAAGAGAAAACATCAAATTATTTTTCCACACATATGCCTATCACTTATCTCAGGTAGGAAATTAGCACTCAGGAAAGTCTGGACACTACTGCTCAGATATGAGTAGTGAGGGAACAGAGAAGATTAAACAGCTCCTGTAAGCTCAGCATAATCCAGACGTTAGTAATGGTTTCAGGCAAATACATCTCTTTAGTTTACCTGCCACAGAGAGATAGTAAATGCCTAAAATGAGATGATTATATGGCTAAAGGTGTCAAAGGAAGATTATAGGAGAGGCACACTTTGTATTGTTCCCAATCAGGTTTGCTCTCCTATCAGCAGTGCACAAACCCTTGTTTCTCTTACTGTACCATGCAGCAGTGCGAGAGGTATTAGGTTCAAATGCATTTAAAGAACAGGACACCACTGTATTTTGTCCTAGATCTACCAGTGACCAGCCTTGTGATCTCTGACCAATTACTTTACTTCACTAGGTGTCAGGCTGTTCTCCCCAATCCCCATCGCCAAAGAAAGGGCCCTTTATAATGGTCAGTTTGAAAGCTTACACTTCTCGAAGTAGTGTCGTGGTCAATGAGCTAAAAGGGGGCAGAGAAGTCAGGACTGAGTAAGGCTTAGGACAGTACTAACGTTCACATCTATGACTACTCCTGGCCGTTAGTGTCCCCCATAACTTGCACCTCATTCGCTCTGGAACTTCCATGGGTGTGTTTTCTAAATGCAGGTGGTCCTCGTCATCTGTGGATTCTGTATCTGCAAATTTGCCTACTTGCTAAAATTGTCTTGTGACTTCAGAACTCAGTATGCTTAGCATTTTCGTAGTCATTCCTTGACATGCATAGAACAGCCAAAAAGTTGAGCCTCCCAAGGCACACGTTCCCAGCTGGGGTCCAGCGAGGAGATGCTCTGCCTTCCTGTCTCAGCTCTGGTGCTGTCAACAAGTGTCCTTTTCACAGTCTGTTTCGTGCCGTGTGTTTTCGCATTTTGGTGTTTTGTTGGTGGTCTCTCTGTTGACGATCCCTCACAGCCCTGCCCCAGCACCGGGTGGAAGTGCTGTCTAGGGTTCGTAAGCCGTAAGGCTGCGATGTGTCTTACAGAGAAAATATGTGAGTTAGATGAGCTCCTTTTGGGTGTTATAGTGCTGCTGGCATGAGTTCAAAAATAAGTCATCTTTAAACAGAAACACACATAAAACAAGATGAGGTGTTGATTAGTTGACAAAAGTATTGTGACCAGAGGCTTACAAGAACCTAATCCTATATTTCCCCTGGGAGCAATGGTTCAGTATTTGTTAATTCAGTGTTCATGGGACATTACAGAACATAACCACGGTGAATAATGAGAATTGACTGTATTCTTGTGTTTTGGCCATTAAACAAAAAACGCTATTAAACCAGGACTATTTTAATACAGTAATTTCTTTTTATCAGATTTATAGGTCTTCAACATTTCAGGATTCTTGGCTTCAGAAGTTGGTTTTTTATAAAAAAAAATATTTATTTATGTATTTGGCTGTGCCGGGTCTTAGTTGCAGCATGCAGGATCTTTAGTTGCAGCATGTGGAATCTAGTTCCCCAGGGATGAAACCCGGGGCCCCTGCAGTGGGAGCGCGGAGTCTTAGCCACTGGACCACCAGGGAAGTCCCCAGAAGTTTTGTTTTTAAGGAAGAACATCTTTATATTTTTCATTCCTGAAATATTTGTTATGCGATAATCCATTTTAATACCATAATCTCACCCAGGAAATATCCGAATCTTTCATATTATATTTTATATTTATATTTAACATATAATACTAAGTAACTTTTAAGCCAAATGCTTTTGAAAAAGAAAAAATTTACAAATGAAGTTTTCATTACATATAAAATGTATTATACGTGCCTATGCATACATGTTCTATTAAGAAACATTGTAAATGTAACCCAAATGGGACCTAAACATATATTTATATGAATTTTATCAATGTCAGGAAACTGTGTTGAATTTTAAAGGATAAAAATGTCCCCTGTTGTTTAAAAATCATAATCACAATTTAAAGGCAAAAGTAGTACTCAGTATATGTATCCTGTAGGATAGGGTGTTGAATTGAACAAGTGGGTAGGTAGAATTCAATGACTGGACTCCAGAATCAGAAATTACACAAGGTCATCTTTAAAGTCCTGTTATATCTTGGGATTTTATGATGTATTGTTATTTAATTTTTCAAGGGTGTTTGTCTCATCTAACTGGAAGCATTCAGAATCCGTGGGCTTAGCATAAAGCAGAATTTTTCAACCTCAGCATTGTTGGCATTTGTAAACAAGCTAGATGATTCTTTCTTGTGGGAGCTGGGGAGGCAGCAACTAGATGACAGCAGCACATACACATAACCAGTTGTGACAACCAAAAATGTCTCCAGACGTTGACAGGCATCGCCTGAGGGTGGGGGGCCGTGTAACCGCGAGTTGCGAACCACTGGCACGGATAGTTGGTTGACACTATTTCAACAGATGAACAAATTTTTATAAAATTTTGGTCATACTATACTTTTTTTTAACATCTTTATTGGAGTATGATTGCTTTACAATGGTGTGTTAGTTTCTGCTGCATAACAAAGTGAATCAGCTCTCCAGACACATGTCGTACTATTCTAAAAGTAAGCAGAAAGACTGTTTCTTTTTGTAATCTGTGAGTAAAACATAAGGAATGTATAATTAGGTATGATGTGTACTGTCTCATTATTAAGTGACATGGAAAACTATATATTTAAAACTATATTTCTTCATGTTAAGCAAGAAATGCCAACATACAGAATTCTAAATAGCGAAGTAAATATATATGGACATAGGAGAGATGGTTTATTGAAAGTTCTCATAATATAGTTCTAAATGTAAAATCTAATTGGAAATTGACTGCACCACGTTAATTTATAGTTACAGTTCATAAAAACACACGCTGGGTTTCCACCTAAGGAAGCATTTTTCATTGGAAGATGGCAACCAGGTGTGCTCCATTTCCTCTGTGGGCAGGAGACTTAAACTGAAAGAAAAGAAAGACTTAACCATGTACAACATGGAGCATTTCCCCAAAGTAAGAAAGTTGGTCAGTAACCCCACGCCTGCAACAGTGGTTCAGCAGCACAGGCTCTTTGTAGGTAGCCAGCTGTATAGACTCTACAACTAAAGTAAACAATAGAAGAGCAAAAAAATACACTTCTCTGACCTCCCTCCAATTTCTGGTTCTTTAGGTGGCATGACCAAACCAAAAATTCTTCCTACTAAAGATTCAGAGCATTGTATAGTGTTGCTTGGTTCAACAAGAATCCCTTCTCTTAATGCTTAAAACCAAATGGACTTAACAGTTTCAAACGCAAAGAAGTAGGGCTGTCAAAGAGCAGGTTTCCATGGCAACCACCTCCTGCCAGTCCTAACTAGTTCCAAGGTTATGGCATCCAAGCCGGCATCCCCTCACTATGCAAAGATACAGGCCCCAGCTAATGGTGGAAATACCGATTTCTCATCTAGTCCAGGACAGAGCAAACAGTCTTATTCCATATGTTTATCTGCAGTCAGTTTTATATAGATTCACCTTGCTTTGATAAAGCTTGTTATATTCAAATACATTAATTTTTTTAAAGTGTGTTGGAGGAAATAATTTGCCCTGCAAAAGATTTTTCACTTTGGGAAAGGATTTGCCACGAGATTTCCTTAAGTAACATGATTCCCCAGCATACTTAAACATGACTAACACACTAAGTTTCAGGACTATATGTATTGAGTAAAATGACCCTTACCTGTGTATATTTCAAGCATGGATTTTGCTGTTTCTTTTCGTTTTTGGCATGTATATCTTATGGGCACACTTGTTGGGGGAATATGAGGAATGTATTCCATAGATTTATGAACAGTCTCTGGCAGTAAGAGAGCAGAGTGGCACTATAAAAGCAATGCAATCTGGGACCAGGTGGGACCATCTTCCCCAGCGACTTTTGTACAGTGAGTGGCAGGTTGGTGACACATCCTTCCAGTGACATTCAGTGCCTTAGTCCCACAATATTCTGCTAATAAAGGGCACACCTGTGGCCTGGAAAAGGTAATATGACTTCTAAAGATCTACTTCACGTTGAAAGAATCTGGCTTCATTTCAATAGAACAAAGTACTATTTTCAATGAGTACAATTCCTCCAATACTTTCTTACTCGTAAGTGAAAGAAATTGGAATGAGTCATCAAAAAGAAGAAAACAACAGTTTGAGGGTTGAACTAGTAAAAACAATCATATGTACCACCATAAGTACATTTGAACTTAGTTAAATAGTTCAGTTGCAATATTTTTAAAAATTAGATAAAATGAATTACATAGATCTTGCTACAAAGAATGGATGTTGAGTTGTGAGAGCAGCCTCAACCAGGTAACGTTATTCTCATGGTGAAGAGTGAATGCGTGACGGGGCTGCCTTACCTCCTATGGAGATGATGGCGTCGAAGCCCTGATCCCTAAAGGGGAGATTAAGGTTGTCACATACCATGACTTCACATCCTCTACTCCGGGCAATCTCTACCAATGGCGCACAGTAGTCACAGCCCAGGGTATGTACCTGGCTGTTCACTTTAAGATACTTTCCAGTTCCACAACCTGTAAGAGAAAAACCTGTGTTACACGCTATCCTTAATGGAAAGTGGAACATTGTCGGTTACTTTGTCTTATCACAGGGAATAGAAATAACTTGATACAGGCAAACCTCGGAGATGCTGCGGGTTCCATTCCAGACCATTGCAATAAAGCGAATGTCACAATGAAGCGAGTCACATGACTCTTTTGGCTTCTCAGTGCATTTAAAAGTTACGTTTACACTATACTGTGGTCTGTTCAGTGTCCAACGGCATTATGTCTACAAAAACAATGTACATACCTTAATTTTAAAACAGTGTATTGCTAAAAAATGTTAACCATCATCTGAGCCTTCAGCAAGTCATAATGTTTTTGCTGGTGGAGGGTTTGAAATACTGTGAGAGTTACCAAAATGTGACACAGAGACGCGAAGTGAGCAAATGGTGTTGGAAAAATAGCACCAATAGACTGGCTCAGTGCAGGGTTGCCACAAACCTTTAGTTGGTACAAAACACAATACCGAATCTGGGAAGTGCAATAAAATGAGGTCTGCCTGTATTAACTAACCAAGACAGAACACAACATGGATTGAAGGTACACACAAAAACAAAAAGAAAAGCCTTCAGGGAGCACATACATGTTTTTATATAGGAGATAAGAGGAAACGAAAATGGGAAAAAGAAATATTATTTATTGTATATTTAATGAGGTCATGTCCATAGGGCTTTCTTAACAGAATAGCACAATCAAGAAATGTCAGCTGGCCTCCAGCAGAGAATAATAGTTCCCTAGGATCCTAGTGACAAGGTCCAGTCTCTTTACAAAAGTTACCTTCACACACATATTTCATTATGTTTAGGTCTACATGTTCTGGGCATTTATTCTTGTGTTATCTTGCCAAACCTTCATCACTTGCTGGCTATATAAAACAGACTACTGTCAACAACTTTTCAATGGGTATAGATAAAATAACTTACACAATAAAACAGGCCTTTCAAAAATTTAAAATTTGAATGAAAAAAGGATTTCAGCATCTTTTTATCCAATCTGTTGTCAGTGCTAGGTTTTAAATGATCTCTATTAACTCTGAATACAACTCTGACAAAGAACTATTTTTTCTTAAATAGACCATTTTAAAAAAAATATTTATTTGTTTACTTGGCTGCACCGGGTCTTAGTTGTGGCACACGGGATCTTTAGTTGCGTCATGCAGGATCTAGTTCCCTGACCAGGGATTGAACGCGGGCCCCCTGCATTGGGAGCTCGGAGTCTTAACCACTGGACCACCAGGAAAGTCCCTTAAATAGACCATTTTTGACATTCACTTTCTGGTGGCAGAGACCCAAGTAATTCAAGATTTACACAGCCCAAAGATTTAGATCAGTCAGATCTCACAGATATTATGGTGAAGAAGGTAGTAACATAAAGGAATAATCATCTTGAAACAAAGCCTTCTGTGATCTAGTACCTAGTATTTTATTCTACCACAGACATATCATCTATTTATTTTTTCAGAAATATTTAAAGATGTCATTAGAGTTGATATCCCTACCTGCTGGCATTAGCTCTAAATTTTTTTGCCTGAAAAATATCTACCACTATTCAAAGATGATTAGTTTGCTGCTTTAGAAATACATCTCAACACTCTTTGATAACTCCTCCTTAATAGGTGCTATTCAAAATTATGAGACACTAAAAGCAGAATTAAAATTCATTGATGCCAGCTGAGACAGTGGAGAGCTTGTGAATAAAAAATAAGATTTCCAGCTTCATTATTTCAATGTAAATGATTGAGGTCTTGGAAATATTTTAGATCTCGTAGCCACTGTTTCTAAGAATGCTTTTGCAAAAAAGGATCCAATATTTGAGGGCAATCATGGGGAAGATATAATTCACAAAGTATTTTAAAATTGAAATCCCGAACATTTCAAAGACGATGCTCATATTTTAAGAAAAATCATCTTGTAAATTTTTTTGCTGTTTTGAACTGGCTCAGGGGATACATTTAGAGAAATGAAAGGGAAAATTACTTCAAAGATACTAATAAAAACAGGTTCATAGAACATTGGAGCTAGAGGGACTTGTTCAGAGAGCATATGGTAACAATGAGGAAACTGAGGTCTTTTCAGATTTCATCATCTCCTGAAACGTTCCCAGTGCCCCTGATACCTTTGATATCCTGTATTTGTTTCTCTCTTTTTTTTTTTATTTGCAGCCATGCCGCGAGGCTTGTGGGATCTCAGTTCCCCGACTAGGGACTGAACCCGGGGCCACGGCAGTGAAAGCACCGAGTCCTAACCACTGGACTGCCAGGGAAGTCCCCTGTATTCATTTCTAATGGCATTCATTTTTAAGGATAGTAATGGAACTCCTGAATATGATGCAATTATCCATTTTCAAAGTGCAGACACCGAGATGCTAGAGAGGGGAGATTTTATCCTAATGAGGAAATCAAGAATACTGCCAAGGCTAGTCCCTCATTATCTTAAACATGCAAGAAATAAATCAGAACATTTTTGGTACTGCAGCTCCTGTACACAGCAGTCATGCTCCTTTACAAAATCTCAGTGATAACCTTCTGTAGTTCTGCAGAGATACCGTAGCAAGTGTCTGCATTGCTTCTGTTCCCCTCTATTTTGTATTCTGCACCTCACTACAACTAAGGAAGAAAACAGATAATTGCCTCAATTCAACAAGATATTTTGGCCCATGGTGGGCGAGTATTTGCTAGAAATAATTAATCTGAATGTTCCCTCTGAAGTTTGCAGAAAGAACTACATTTTATAAATTAAGAGTTTTTTGCTAAGACCTTATCTGAAAGAGAATTCTCTTTTGCTATGGGAAAAGGAAGAATATAGCCTATTTACTTCTCCTTTTATGTACATCTTTTGAAGTCAGAGATGAGGCAATATGTTTTATTCTGCCGGCCTGGTGCCTGCCCTTTAGTAGGAGCTCTAAATGTGTATTGACTCAGAGAAGGAATGGTAATTAGAGAATAACTTAGCAAATGAAGTCTGACCATAGACTATGGGAATAAATAATTGAGAGTTAAAAGGCAAGAAGAATTTTAATTCTTGAAAAATTAATTTTAGTTATGTATACAAAAATAAACATTTCAATACTATTAGGATAGTTGTCTCTGATGTCACGTGAAAAGGTCACCTTGCTCAAAAAAGAATCTAGTTCTAGTCTTTATTCTGCTTCCTAAACTAATCCAAGTAAAGCCCTCAAACCACAGAACACCTTCCATGTATCATCTTCTTTTTTTTTTTAAATGTTACAGTCCATTTTTATTCATAATTGATTAGTTTAATACTTGCTTGAATTGAGAGAAATATGGGTTTCATATATATATAGGGATAAGGTTATAATAAAATGGTTTGGTTAACCAAATGTGGTTCAGTTTTATTTTTTATTTTATTTTATTTTATTTTATTTTTTTGCGGTACGCGGGCCTGTCACTGTTGTGGCCTCTCCCGTTGCGGAGCACAGGCTCCGGACGCGCAGGCTCAGCGGCCATGGCTCACGGGCCCAGCCGCTCCGCGGCACGTGGGATCTTCCCAGACCGGGGCATGAACCCGTGTCCCCCGCATCGGCAGGCGGACTCTCAATCACTGCGCCACCAGAGAAGCCCATTTTATTTCATTAAAAAAAATTTTTTTTGGAGTACAGTTGATTTACAATGTTGTGTTACTTTCTGCTGCACAGCAAAGTGAATTAGTTATACATATACATATATCCACTCTTTTTTTTTTTAGATTCTTTTCCCTTATGGGCCATTACAGAGTATTGAGTAGAGTTCTCTGTGCTATAGAGCAGGGTCTTATTATTCATCTATTTTATATATAGTAATGTGTATATGTCAGTCCCAAACTGAAGTTTATCCCTGGCATGCACCATCTTCTAATGGCCTTAAATTACTAGCCCATTTCAGGAAAAGGTATTGCCTTAATTGCAAAGATCGCAGGATTTCCTGAGGGTCCTTTGCATTTCTGCTGTCTTTGAATCATCAACGCTCTTTATATTTAAACTACAGTTCCTGCTCACTTCATTCCTGATACCTGCCCTGAAGAGTTAGGTTCCATCAGGAGCCATTATCACACATCTCAGCAGATCAGCTGGGAGTGGGGTGACGAGCTTAATAAAATTTAGCCAATAAAACAATCGCACCACTAAAATAGCGAAGCCGCTAGATAATTCCTGTATGGGCAACTGGAACCCGATTACCTCTGCCTGTTTTTTACCTATGCAAAGTTTTATTAGTCAGTAATTATAAATTGCTAATCTAATAACCAGTCAGATTAAACTGTTGATGATTTTACCTAAGTGGAAAACCTAGAAAGAAAAAATATTTCCTTTTGGAGATAGTCACATTGTTCTACTTCCTTTTTTTTCTACTAATCCCTTTGGGCTTCTTTCTTTCCTTTTCATTGATTTCTTCTTCATTTCAATTTTATTTTAAAACTTGTCTTTCACTGTATAATCAAAATATTCTTATTTACTTATTGAGTGGTAAAAAGTGTAAAGAGTACAAAAATCAAAAGATACAAATGGGTAAAATAATATTTACTAGATATATTTATTGATTTGCACAGTGGTACTTAAAGAATATTATTTGTGCCATAATTTGTAGTAGCAAAATGTAGCAAACAACATACATATCTGTTGGTATGGTGTTATCAGCATAGAAGGCTATGCAGCTTTTAATAGTTAGCAGCTCTATGAGAACAAACACGGAGTGAACTCAGTATATTAAAAGAAACGAGCTAGGTGTATAGCATTTTGTGTAACATACTAATTTGTGTAATTGAAAAAGGGGAATCCACCCATGCACACACTTATATGCACAAATATGCTTATATTTATGTGAAATACCTCAAGAAGGTTATACAAGAAGCTAAGAGCATGGTGCCTCTGATGGGGGTTACTTGGTGCTGGAAGACTGGGATGAGAGAATATTTTTCACTGTACATTTTTTTTTGTACCTTGTTGTTAAGCCATTTAAATGGATTACCTATCAGAAATATTTTAGGGGCTCCCCTGGTGGCGCAGTGGTTGAGAGTCCGCCTGCCGATGCAGGGGACACGGGTTCGTGCCCCCGTCTGGGAAGATCCCACATGCCGCGGAGCAGCGGCTGGGCCCGTGAGCCATGGCCACTGAGCCTGCGCGTCCGGAGCCTGTGCTCCGCAATGGGAGAGGCCACAGCAGTGAGAGGCCCGCGTACCGCAAAAAAAAAAAAAAAATGTTAGGCAATTTGTATTCCCCCCATTTTTGAACTGTTTGTTCATATGGTTTCATCATTTTGCAGGGGGTTGTTGGTCTTTTTCATACTGACTTTGAAGAAGGCTCCACGGAGTAAGAAAATCGTCTATTTTTCTATCAGATATATTGCAGATATTTTTACCTAGTTTGTTTTTGGTTTTTTACTTCATTTATATATTTGTCTAGAAATTTGCCTTGTAGAACCTTTTAAGTTTTATGTTGTCAAAAATACCAGTGCAATTAATCCTCATTACTCACAGACTCTGTATCTGCCTCTTCACCTAATTGCTAAAATTTATTTGCAGGGCCCAAGTCTGTACTGGCAGTGCATGCGTGTAAAGCTTTAAACAGAAACACACATGAAACAAGGTTAGGTATTGATCAATTGACAAAAATATTGTGACCACAGGCTCCTAGGAACCTAATCCAGTATTTCCCCTAGGGCAATAACTCAGTATTCACTAATTCAGGGTTCACGGAAACTTTATAGAAGCTAACTACTGTGGATAATGACAATCAACTGTATTTTATTTTATGAGTTCTCCCTTTTTTTGTGTCATACATTGAGAGGCCTTTTGCTTTTGAGAATTTTTTTTTAATTATATAGTCATCATCTAGTCCTTTAATGAATTCATTTTCTTATACTTAAATCTTTGCTCCATTTGGAATTTTTGGTGTAAGGTATGAGAAAGTAGCATATATATTCTGTTGTCCCCAAACCTTTTCCTCCCAGCTGATTTAAGATTCTGGTACTTTGCTTATATTATGAGTGGTAAGAGTTCCAAACTTACTGCATTTTATGAAACCAGATTTTTTTTTAAAGTTGACATGATAGAGATGTTTTTAAAGACTCTCCACTTCTACGTGACATGTACCCCTTCCCCAAATTCTACCCTGCTCGCACCATCTTTAACAAGCCAAAAGCCCTGGGCACATCTGTTTCTCTTACCAAAATTTAGAGTGAATGTCAAATTAGACGGAACTTGTAACTGTAGACTTACGATTCTTACGGTGCCGTATGCATGTAATTGCTAGAAAGCAGTTTTGAGCGGGCATGCTCCAAATAGGAATCCTACCATGTCTTAAAACTTAATCTTAGATCTCCTGGGCTGTGATTTACCACTTCTAGATTCCAAAAGATACTGAGCCAAAGTCCTCCAAGCAAATCATTATGTGCTTGATTATGAAGATATGATCTAATTAAAGATATGCTCTAATAATAAGAATAGTTAAGGGAAAGGATCCATGAGATTCATAAGAGGTTACAGGACCTCTTCTATAATCTCACAATTCTGGCTCTTCTGTAGAAGGCGTGAGAGCTACTCAGCGTAACCCGCCAAAACACTGTATTCACGAATGTGAATGTCTCTAAGTTAATTATTTTTTTAAATCATTCAGTGTTTTTTAAAGTATTTTTAAAATTAATTAATTTATTTTTTGGCTGTGTTGGGTCTTCGTTGCTGCGTGAGGGCTTTCTCTAGTTGCGGCGAGCGGGGGCTACTCTTCGTTGCGGTGCGCAGGCTTCTCATCGCGGTGGCTTCTCTTGTTGCAGAGCACAGGCTTTAGGTGCACGGGCTTCAGTACTTGTGGCACGTGGGCTCAGTAGTTGTGGCTTGCGGGCTGTAGCGCGCAGGCTCAGTAGCTGTGGCGCACGGGCTTAGTTGCTCCGCGGCATGTGGGACTTCCCGGACCAGGGCTCGAACCCGTGTCCCCTGCACTGGCAGGCGGATTCTTAACCACTGCGCCACCAGGGAAGTCCACTCTGAATTTAAAATGGTCAGTTTCACAAGCGGCCATTTCAATCCTGATTTATTCAAGCAACGTCAGGTTGATTTTTGTGGGAGGACGTGCACGAAGGCTCTGAAAAAATTGCCACTGTCTATATGTAGATTTGAGGGGCTTTTCTACTTTCTGGCTTGACTGTATGAATTTCTGCTATCAAGTGAATATTCCAGGTGCTGACATGCCAAGGACACAATTTCAGACTTCTGGTTAGAACAGAAATGAAAAGTGAATCTGAAAAGGAAAGGCATGACGGAATATATTTCAGATTACGTGGCACCGCCCCAGGTTACCTATGTCAGCGATGAGGCTGCCAGGCTTCTGGTCCTGGAGGAACTGGCGGACACGAGGCCAGGCTTTGCTCTGCAAGTCGCTGAAGTAAGGAGCGGTGCTCTCATACACATCGTGCACATGCTGCTTCTCCAGCTGGGCGGCTGCATGATCCATCCTGGGGAAAACAGGTCCACGCCAAGGAATGCAGTTCAGAGTAGGCACCAGAGATGGCTGATGGGGATGCAGATTTCCTAAAACTGGGAACTTACAACTGCCAAGATTGTGTCGCTTTTATACTTCTGTTTTTCTGGCCATGCCACGCGGCATGTGGGATCTTAGTTCCCTGACCAGGGATCAGAACCACAGCCCCTGCACTGGAAGCACGGAGCCTTAACCAGTGTACCACCAGGGAAGTCCCTGTTTTTATACTTTCTTATAAGCTGCAAAGAACACAGCCTTCACTGGAACCTCACCAGAGTTGTCAAAAGGCTAGCAAATTCATCCTTCTTACCTGCAAATCTTCAGAAAACAGTCATTTGGGAATGAGCTAATTATAGTATGTTTCTCTGAAAGATCAATTCTTTCAGAGAAAGGTTCACTTTGGATAAAATCGTTCTATTGGATGCTAAATAGATTTTAAAATTGCATAGCATGTCACTCAGCACTCCAATCCAATCACAAAGCCCGATTGATTCTACCTTTTTAATTTTTTTGGATTCCAACCATTTCTCTATATCCTACTGATTCTGTTTTAGAAAAGGTCCTCATTTCTTGCCTGAATTGCTTCAACAGGCTGTAAACAGTTTTGTTTGTTTGTTTGTTTGCCCTTCAATCCCTTTCCTTCAATTATGCCACAATTGTTTTTCTACAACATAAGTCTTACTGTGTTGCTTCCTATCTTAGACTTCTTCAAAGGCATTTTATAGCTTGTCTGATCAAGTTCAGGTATTTCAGGGGGCATACAAGGTTCTTTTTGATCCGGCCTCCATTTTCCTCTTGAAGCCATTTCTCACTGCCCTTCCCCAGCATCAGATGCACCTGTAATACTCAGTGATCGTGGCTTCTCAGGCATGACACAGCCCGTGTCATCCAGGGGCTGGACGGGTGCTGTGCGTTACCAGGAGAACTCCTGTTCATCCTTGGCATAGGCATTGCCTCCTCCAGGAAGACTTCCCTGACTTCTATGCAGGATAAGGGCAATCAGAAAGGAGTGGGCAGAGTACAAGAGCAGCTCTTAGAGACCTCTGCTTATTCGGGGTTTGATCTTTTAATTATTGTGACATGTGAGTGAGGAGTAGTATCCCAGGGAAGGGCTCAGAATGTGGCTTTTTACCAATCAATATGAAAGTATTTTTAATCTCTGAAGAACCCATTTGACCCTACTCGTGCGTACCAGCTAGCTCAGTCCTGCCCCTTGTACTCCTGTTGCATCCCATGCATCCTCTACAGATTACCAAGGGCCGTAACAGTCTGTTAGATATTTTTCTCTAGCACTGGCTGGAAGATCCTAGGTAATGAGGACTTATCTTACTTAACGCTGAATCCTCAGTAGTTAGCACACAGCAGACCTTCAAAAAATGAACAAACAAGCAAGCAAACAAGCAGAATGGACTCTGAGTACAGAGGGTAACATTGGCTTTGGTAGAAGAGAGTAACCTGGGGAGTGTGGGAAGAGAGGGGACCCTACACCCACAAGCTTGTAGATGGGAATATGGTAAGAGAAGGTATTGTCCTTGCACAGCCTCTGTGTTCCCTCCATACGCCCACCCCCTCATTACTCCCAGTCTAGGAAGTAGGAAGCACTTGGGTAAGGTGGCATCTGACTAGTTACTCCACTGTAAAGTGCCTACCCCTCCGCCACCCCTCCCCAGCTTTCTATTTAAGAAATATGAGAGATACTTTGAGACCATATAAATATCCTATTTCTCTTCATCTCACTCACCACTTTTAGCATACAATCCATTGATGCCTCTTTCTAATTGAAGTATAGTTGATTTAAAATATTGTATTAGCTTCAGGTGTACAACATAGTGATTCAATATTTTTATAGATTATACTCCATTTAAAGTTATTACAAAGTAATGACTGTATTTCCCTGTGCTGTACAATGTAAACTTGTTGCGTATCTATTTTATACGTAGTAGCTTATATCTCTTAATTCCATAACCCTCTTTTGCCCCTCCCCTTTCCCCCACTGGTAACCACTAGTTTGCTCTCTATATCTGTGAGTCTGTTTCTGTTTTGTTACATACATTCATTTGTTTTATTTTTTAGATTCCACATGTAAGTGAAATCATATGGTGTTTGTCTTTCTCTTTCTGACTTATGTCACTAAGCATAATATTCTCTAGGTCCATCCACGTTGCTGCAAATGGCAGAATTTCATTCTTTTTTTATGGCTGAGTGATACTATCACCAAATGATAATATTCTAATTCCATCATTCCCTCAACTGTGAGGAAGAGCTTTTCAGGATTTACTCTTAAAACAAACTAGCAGTAGGTTATCCCTAATTACTACGGACCTGCCCACAGTCCCTGCAAAAAATCTGGCAAACTCCTGACAGAGTACAAATCTCATTTGTGATGTCTGACAAAACCTCCACCCAAACTGAAACAGCTTATGTTGCGCCCTCAACTAGAATTTACAAAGTAAACATATGGCTGGCTATAACTGCCTACACATGAGAAAAACCCAAACACTGAGCGCTTTTCTCTTTAATCAAAATCTCAGTAGACTTAAGTCTGTTTAAAACTTTCCCCCCTCAAGGAATCAATCAGGCAATACAGTCTTGAGAACTGTAAAACAAATAAATTTTAATACTTTATTGCACTTGCCAATGTTAAGTGGCAATCAACATAAACTCGATTCCCCTCCATCTGGCTCCAACTACAAGCTCAGAATCTGTAGTATCTGAACAACACCCCATGGAGACCTTTCTCTAAGTCTTCCCCCCAAGTTGCCCTCCTTCTACTATAAACAAGTAGCCTCAAAGAGCTATTATAAAGTGTGTGAACAATATAAATCCATTTTGTTTATTTTACACTTAAGATTATATTCTGCAGAATATATAGCTGACCATGAAATTGATTTGTAGAGTTGGGGCCATCTAATATGACATTTTCAACAGTCTGTGGGTTTAAATTTCCTGCAGTATACACATATGCAAATTCCTTGTGAATCCGGTAATATGACTAAGCTAGTAAGACTAGTGCTAAAGTAGTAACGTAGGGTTCAAGCTGGAGCTAGGCAGGTAGGGTTTGGTTTAGCCAGGCGTCTTAATCTGTGTGCTGACAAATTGCAGGCCTTAGAGCTGATGCCTTGTTGGTGAGTCATGAAAGAAGAGAAAGTAATTTGAAAGGGACAGAGAAGTCAGAACGTAATGCACCAAAAACTTGAAGAACTATTTTGGACTTTAAGTGCAATGGAAAGTGGTTCCTTGGAAAACAGGAAAGAGGAGAGAACGTGACAGGAAGTTAATAGGAGAGGTCAGTGGCTTGGTGTGTTTTCCATGGAGAGAGGAGCAAAGAGAGAAACGTCAGCATTCTTGCTTCTAGCCACAGGGTGGTCAGTAACAGGTCACAGATGTTTGTTTTTCCTGTTCTGGGCATGTAACTAGGGTAACACTTGTCTACCCAGCTTGATTCAGGCAAAGCCATGGGGCTTGCTTTGACCATTACATGTGATCAGAGAAGATGTGAATCACTTCTGGGCAGAAGCTCTGTGAGCCAGCGTGTGTCTCTGTGATCGTGGAAACATCAGCCCAGGTCCCTGAGTGACTCCCCTTTATGGATGGACAGTGTACATGTTTTAAGCCAAAAACAAGGGAACAAACAGCTCATCATAAAGGATCTTGATTATCTATCTAGATAATGAAAAAGTAAAAACTATTAATCATATTCTGTTAGAAGATAACTTGTTACCATGTGAGTTTGTCCTGTCTTTTCTTTATAAATACTAATACTTTTTACTGTAGATAGAACAAAATTGGGAGAAAACAGAATACGGTTCTATATCCCACTTTTTTAAACTTAATTTAATATTGTGAGCCAGGGAAGGAAAGGAGAGAGGCAGGGAGAAAGGACAGTAATACCTGTGGACCTGAAAGCGTGAAGGCATCAAGGTATTGCTGGAAGCGGTTTCTGTCAACTTGTGTGTGTGTGTATTTAACAGTAAGACATTAGTTTGAAAAAGAAGAGAATCTGTCAAAGGTAGTAGTGAAAAATAATTTTGGAGATCTAAGATTCGAGGGAATACTTAATCTCTCCCCAAGCCTGAGCCCAAGCACTTATGACCATTATTTACAATCCCAGACATTTCAGAGATTAAATACTTTTTAAAATTTCTGCTTACCCACTCTTCCTTTGAGGAACTGCACCTCTCTTTGGACTTCGAGTGATGCTGGAGCCTGCCAGTCACGTAGGACAGGGGTGGACACATGACCTAATCTAGGACAATCATTCTCTCTCCCCTGGGAAACTGACAAGAGGTAGTTGAAGTCAGATCACTAAAGAAATGTCCTCCAGTTTCTCCTAAGTCTTACCTTTGCTGAGGTTTGGTTTGCAGCTCTTCTGTTCTATCAGCTACTTAGTATACTCCCAACAAATCCATCCTCGTTTGTTTTGATGTTTGCAGGCAAAGCACTTTATTTCAGACTTGAATTCATCTTCACGATCACCACGTGGACATCAGGGGGTGTCACAGTGGAAGAGATGCGCTGTGGCCACCAGAGTCCCAAGAGGACTTGCCACACATAGATGAAAGGACTCCTGTTGGAGCCCTCTGGCAACAGAACATGGTGGGATGCAATGTCCTATTGGAACCCATGCTAGACTAAGAGAAGATCAGAGCTGTTGTCATAGTGCTGCCATCTTTGCCACCTGTCCGCCACAACCTAGTATCTGAGCTGTTCTTACGGCTTTCTAGTTGGTCTCTCTGTCCCCCTTGCCTTCCTCCCACTTCTCACACCCGTCACTCTAATATATCCGTAATGCTGGGAGGTTGCAATACTCCTTTTCAATCACTATTCACTTGGTGGAGACACCATACCCTCCTATAGTAAAAGGCAACTGCAAAGACCACGTTGCATACGTGCTATGCTTAGCCTGATGGCTGTAACTTGTAATTTCCCTCCATGAACCCAGGAAAAGCAGTTTAGAACCTCTAGTTCATGCCGATGCTGGATAATTTTCCTATAATGTGCATTTGATAATCTCCCCTCTCTGTTGAAAACCCTTCAGGAGACCTCTGTGAGATGACGCTTTCACTCCTCCATCTGGCATTCAAAAACCTCCATGACCTGGTCCCAGTCCAGCTTTCCAGCCATGTCCTATAACTGCCACAGCTCAAATTCTCAGCTCTACCCAAAGACCTCTACTCACCTTTCCCTGAGTGGGGCTTGTTTATAGCTCGTCGTTCAGGTCTTTGCTGAAGCCAGCAGGCTGTTCTTTCTCATCTGAAATGCTTCCCTTCCAAAATCTTACCTTCAAAGTCTAGCTCAGCCTCTTTCTCCTCCATAAATACTTTAAGGATAGCTATCCATAAAAGTAATAATTTCTCTCCGTATTTCTATATACTGCATATTTATTGTCACTATCACTCTTAGAGCATTTCTCCTGATACTGTCTTGAACTCTCAACTTTGTATATGTTCCCAACTAGATTAGAAGCTCCTGGAGGGCAGAACTGAAATTTGATCTTTCTTTTATATATATCATAGTGCCTTCACTCAATAATTAACTGTAGAACTAATGAATCAGTGAGCTGTTTCCTTAGCTCCCTATGCAAGACAACAGTGCTTTCCTCCAGATAAACTGGCCCTCAGATATTCAGTCATAAATCATTAATCCCCTGGTAGGAGTCAAGAGGCACTCAGGAAGCAGGGCTAAGACGGAGCTTTCCCGGTTGTGTTTTGTGTTTCATAATTTCCTTCCCTTGCAGAGGCCTGTTTCAGAGATACACCCTAGACACACAATAGTCACATTTTTATAACTAAAAACAAATATAAATAACTGTAAACTGTTCTCTTGTTATAAATGCCACAGAAGACACAGTAGTTAAAAAAAGAGAATAGAACTGCTTTAAATCTCAAAGATAGATTCAAACTATAATTCTAAAGTGAAAATACAAATTGGTCTAGACAGTTCAAAGACTTTACTTACATTATAAAAAGACTTCATTATAAAACACATAGGTTTATTTTTAAACCTTTTAATATATGATACTTCAAATGTAACACCTACATATTATTTTCAAGTACAAATTATACCGCAGCCTTTTTAATGATAGAAACTATCATTTCACAATATGCTTGTCCTAGAAACACATTTTGTTCTCTAATAAAACACAATAAACTCCAGCTTACCTTATATCACATTGTCATAAATTTTAAATGAAAGGAATTGGGACTAATTAGGTTTCCCGAATGCGCTCATATTATGTGAATTGCTGGGATAGCTGAAAGCTACTAACCTGAGTCGTCTTGTGATTACAGAAAATTACTTCTTGTCTTTGTGATTTATGGCAGTTTCCACCCTCAGAGAGTGATAGTTGTTGTTGATAATTTTCTCAATGTGTAATGTAAATGCAAAGTAGTAGGAGTGGAATCAAATAGCGAGGCCCTTCACACGACAGACCACTCTGTATGAGCCTTTGAAGAGAATACAGGACCTATTAGAGAAAAAAACAAATACGAAAGTTCATTTTACATAATAAAAATATTGAACCAGCTACAGCCCAGGTTGACCTCTTGACAGATGCATAAATTACCCAGAGAAGAAGGGATTAGAAAGAACTGTTAATATATGAAACATGCCAGAACTATAAGAGTAGTTTCTGAATCAATTCCTCAGCTTTCTGTAGAACATACAGTACTTGCTCCCAAAATTAAATTGGATGATTTCATCTTGTTCCTCAAAAAGTTACAAGCACTGAGAGTCAACTTTGAATGCAGTGGTTTAATTAAATGTAACTATTTAAGAGATATGACTAAATGTTATTAAGTCATTCCAGTACAATTTAACTTCAATATTTGCTCATATCAGCTATTTCCATGTCCCTTTGACAAGTATTCCTAGTTACTCTTCGTTGTTTGCATTTACTTTTTTCTTTTTTCATAATAGAGCAGGTCTGTTATGAAGCTCATCGAAAGACTCTGAGTTACTTTTTTTAAAAAAAAAAAAGGACCTTGTATGACAGAAAGCACTTTGTAATGAAGAGGTCTTAGGATGTAAAATGAGGTCTGAAGAGATGTCTGGTGCGGTAGGAAAAGCCCATCCTGTAACACCTGGGGCCCTGATTCCTTACCTGTAAATGAGGCCCGTGGACTTTAATCTTGATCATAGTTCTCAACCATTTTCCTCAGTCTTCACATCCTTCGTGTGTGTACCTCAGTGCCACGAACTGTACCCCTTTATTACAGTGATTCTCAGGATGGTCCCCGAACTCCCCCGAGCTCCCCATCCACCCCACTCTTGGTCCCTCTTTAAAAAGCACTGATTTGGGTGTGCTTTGGAAAGCTTTTGTCTGGTCTTCAGAATATGCATATACATTTTAACATGTTATCTCTCACACCTGTGAGACATCTCTCAGTCATATGCAGGTATACAGTCTGTACCACTGAGAGCCACAAAGCTTGGCTTTTTAGGAAGAACATTTAGGAAGAGTCTTGAAAGAGCTACTAGCCAAAAGATCTCATCTTTCCTTTTGCAATTTTAGAACCTGCCTTAATCATAAAGAAGATGATGTTGTCGTCTGAGCCTCCATGCTAGTGGCAAAGCTAAAGGCTGTCCCCTGGAATTCACCCTTCCTGCCCTGACCTAGGGGCTGCTTTGTCACCAGCCACCCTGGCTGTCTAAGCACCTTTCCTTCAGGCATTAGTGCCCAAATGCATTCACCCTCTCAGATATGCCACTGAGGACAGAGTGTTCCAAGCCTTAGTCACAAAGTGTAGCGAATGAAAAGAATTTCAGATAGTGCAGCAGGCATGTGTGAGCTACTCGCGTGAAAGCAGGGGTGGGGAACTTTTCTTCTATATCCCCAAATCATAGCCCCCAAACACCTATAAAGATAATTGACTTTCTATAAGTTCTCTAAATTATGATCCAAATTTGCCTCTCTTGAAAACGAATCATGTTAACTTTTCCAAGAAGTTGCTGGGCAAAGACAAGATAGGGTAGTATCTATCTTTTAAAAAATTGAATTCAAATGAGTCCTTTTACTTTATCAGCCATACATCTCTGGAGTATTTAGTATTAAAAAATGCATTCCTCCTCCCTTTCTCCTTGAATAAATGGGAAACTGTCCTTGAGGGCAAAGGTGACTCAAACCTTCTGAAATTTTGAGGTTAACCATGTGTGTATATTTTCCTGGGAAGAGGGTCAGCACCTCAAACTGTGGCTCAGGGGCAAAGTCAGTTTGGGGTTAAAAATCTATTAAATTAAAAATACACATTCATTCACTCAGTAAATATTATTTAAACCTCTGTTATATAAATATAAGGCACTAGGGATAAAGGTTTTTTTAAGTCCCCCAATTTAGGAATCCAAAATTTAATATGGGAAACATACAAAGAAATAGAAAATTAAAATATGGTAGAACCTTTACTATCGGTATGGATACATCCCGAGAGCTTCTGAGCTTCTGAATCCCCAAGCTACTTATGCCTTGCCTTATTTTGTCTGTCGATCTATAGATAGACTGATTGATTGATAGATAGAAAGATTAACAGATAAAATAAACCTATTACAAATTACTACCTCATGGACCTTTGGGCCATCACAAGTATTTAAGACCACAAATGCCAAGAGCCCACATCTGGTATGATGAATATTATGATCCAGGTGTGCACAGGTGCTATAGGAGCACGTAGGAGAGGCAACTCATCCAGCCTGGCAGGGGGGGTGGGCGGGGGGGGCACATGTGAATGCTCCCTTGAGAGACTGACAACCAAGTTGGAGCTCCGAAGACAGTAGGGGTAAGTCAGGTAAAGTGGGAGTGGATGATTCTAGCCATAGGAAGCAGCATATACAAAAAAAAAAAGAAATGAGACTAATTATAATCTTTGATGAACTTCAAGTAACTTAACAATAGCAAGACACACATACATGTACACACAACATATATTATTTACTACCATCCAGGGCCTGTTATAAGCATTTAACATATATTAACTCATTCAATCTACCCAATAACTACATGAAACAGGAACTATCTTGTCCCCATTTTATAGACAAGAAAACTGAGAACATAAGTGACTTTCCAAGGTCACATAGCAGAGCCAGGATTTGAAACCAGAAGGTTAGATTCCAGAGTTCACACTCTTACCTAGACAGTCGACAGGGAGGGAGGGAGGAAGGGAGGGAGGGAGGAAGGACAGGTGATGCTGTAAGAGTATGTAGGAGTCAGACCACATAGGACCTAGTTTAGCTTTCTAAGGAGTTAGATTTTATCTAACTGGACATAATGGCGAGCCATAGAATTATGTCAATGAGAGAAATGACAAAATCTGATCTGGTTTCCAGAAATCTATGGCAAGAGTGTAGACTAGTATTTCCTGGACAGGTTCACAGAGAAAGAACCTAGTTAAATACTTTAGACAAAGAATGATATCAAGGATGCTTAGGAGGGGGAAAATACAAGAGATATTAAGGAGAGAGCATCACATTAATAGGACTTGGTGACTGATGAAGAGTTAAGGCAAAGAACACACTGAAGAGGAAGCAGTGATACTGATAAGGCTGGTCCTGTAAGATCTGCCACCTGCATCCTAAAATAAAGGGAGAGAGAGAGTGAGAAGGAAAGGCAAACAAAAGGAAACTTTGGTAATGACCATATATAAACTGTGACAAACACTTCCTTTGGAATGCGAGTGAATACAGCCAGAGAAGTTTCCTTAAGATGTATGCATCTACAGGGAAGAGGCTATAAGAAGGACTAGGTGTTGTAACGGAATTGCCACAGTGATCAGTAACACATTATAGTATGGCCTGGGCTGTTTGTTTATATTCCTTATGTTCTGTAATTGACGGCAACATTTTCCAGATAGGGACAGTGGATCTCATGATCACTGCATCCTTGTTGAGTATTGCAATTTACACAGCACTCAATCGGTGTCTGTGGTAAAAATATGTGAAGAAAGGCAGAGAAGAATAAAAAAGAAGGCCCTTTAGATGGTGCTACAGTTCACTGTCAGAGGGAATACATCCAAGGGAGGGTTCAGGTTTGGACGTATTGTTTTTGTGGTATCTGAAGGACAACCAAGTAAGGTGGATATGAAGCTCAGGGGAGCAGGGTGGACTAGAAATCATTTAAAAATCATCATTATCCTAGGACTTGGCAGTGACATTTTTTTTTTAACTTTTACCATTTATTCCCAAAGAGAGAAGGCATATAGCGTTCAGACACAACCAAATACAGTTTGGTCTGACTCAAATAGCTTAAAAAACAGA